TAACAGAAATGGGTGTTATATCTTGTCAAAATCTTTTTTTGCATTCTTTGATGTAATCATATGTATTTGTTATTCTTGCTATTAATATGGTCAGAGTTTTCCTAATATTGAATCCACCTAACATTTATGCTTTATTTATAATCTTTATGATATATTGCTATAGTTTCCTTGCCAATATTTTATTTAAAATTTTTGCCTCGGTACTCTTTATAGACATTGGTTTATAACATTCTCCGTGTTTACTTTTCCAGAATTAGTTATCAGGATCATATTTTTTTCATAGGAGGAATGTTGGAAGACTCCATCTCATCCTATTTTTTTTTCAAACAGCTCCTAATTCTGCTAATTTGATGGTTTTTATTCTTTGAGTTTTGTTACTCTCTCCTTTGAATTTTCATTTTTTTTTTGTTTTTGGTACTTAATTGGAGGTTTTTAATTTGTTAGTTTCTTAGTTTTACCTGTCTGATTTAATTATCTGCAGTTTCTCCCTTTGTTATTGATAAAAATGTTTAAAGACATATGTTTTCCCCCAAGTAGTGCTTTGACTGCATCCAAAGAAATTTGCTTTGTTTTCTTATTGTCCTTACTATCTTTACTGAAATTATTGGTTGCTCCTATGATTTGTTCTTTGACTGACCCGTTCTTTAGGATTAAGTTATTTATTTTGCATTTAGTTTTAAATCTTTTCTTCAAAGGCTTATTATTGAATAGAATTTTATTGCATTATGATCTGCAAAAGATGTGTTTTGTTATTTCTGTTTTTCTGCACTTATTTGCAATGTTTTTAATGCCCTGATACATGATTGGTTTTGGTAAAGATGCCTTGCACACTTAAGAAATACTTCCTCTTTCCATTCAATAACCTCTCGAAATCTATCATCTCTAACTTTTCTAAAATTCTGTTTGGTAGAGTGGTAGATCGGTGGAATAGATAAGGTACACAAGACATAGTACTAAATGGTCATGTTAATCTAGTGTTTGATAAACCCAAAGACCCCAGCTTCTAGGATAAGAACTCACTATTTGACAAAAACTGCTGAGGAAACTGGAGAGTAGTGTGGCAGAAACTTGGTGTAGACCAACATATCTTATACCCTCTAACCAAGATAAAGTCAAAATAGGTACATGATTTAGATATAAAGGCTGATACTATAAGCAAAGTAGGAGAGCATAGTTCATCTGTAAGATCTGTGTAGAAGGGAAGAATTTTTGACCAAACAAGAGATAGAAGGGATTATGGGATATAAAATGAGTAATTTTGATTATATTAAATTAAAAGGTTTTGCCCAAACAAAACCAGTGTAGCCAAGATTAGAAGAAAAACAGAAATCTGGGAAACAATTTTTATGGCAGGTATCTCAGATAAAGGCCTCATTTCTCAAATACATAGAGAATTGTTAAATTTATATGAATACAAGTCATTCCCCAATTGATAAATGGTCAAACAGGATATGAACAGGCAGTTTTCAGATGAAAAATCAAAGCTATCTATAGTCATTTGAAAAAAATCACTATCGATTGGAGAAATGAAAATTAAAGTAACTCTGAGGTACCACCTCACATCTGTCAGATTGGCTAATATGACCAAAAAGGAAAATGATAAATTTTGGAGAGAATATAGGAAAATTGGAATACTAATGCATTGTTGGTGGAGTTGTGAACTGATCCAACCGTTCTAGAGAGCTATTTGGAACTATACCAAAATGACAATTAAACTTTGCATACTCTTTGATCCAGTAGTACCGCTACTAGGTCTGTGAGATCATAAAAAAAGGAAGAAGGACCTCTGGGTACAAAAATATTTATAACAGCTTTTTTTATGGTGGCAGAGTTGGAAATTGAGGGGATGCACAAGAATTGGGGAATAACTGAACAAGTTGTGGTATGGGAATGTAGGAATACCATTGTGCTATAAGAAATGATGAACAGGTGGGTTTTAGAAAAACTGGAAAGACTTACACGAACTGTTAACAAAGTGAAGTGAATGGACAGCTAGATGGCGCAACAGATAGAGCGCTGGCCCTGAAGTCAGGAGGACCTGAGTGCAAATGTGGCCTCAGACCAAACACTTGACACTTACTAGCTGTGTGACCCTGGGCAAGTCACTTAACCTCAATTGCCTAAAAAAAACCCAAAACCAAAGTGAAGTGAACAGAACCAGAAGAACATTAGAACATTGTACACAGTAACAGCAACATTGTATTATGATCAACTGTGAATAATTTAGCTCTTCTCACCAATACAGTGATCCAAGGAAATTCTAAAGGACCCATAATGGAAAATGTTATCCAACTCCAGAGAAAGAACTGACACAATGTGAATGCAGATCAGAGCATACTGTTTTCCCTTTTTTTGCATTTTTTTCTGTTTCTTCTTTTACAACATGACTAATATGAAAATATGTTTTACGTGACTGCACATATATAATCTATTTAAAATTCTTACCTTTTTAGGGAGGGGGAGGAGGAGGAGGGAGAAAATTCTGAACTCTTTTTTTTTTAAATGAATGTTCTTTAGATGTAAAAAAAAATACTTTCAAAAGTCTTAAAAAAATAAAATGCTGGTGTCCACCAAAAAAGTAAATAAAATTCTATTTGGGTCCTTAATTTCCGTGTGTGTGTGTGTGTGTGTGTGTGTGTGTGTTATATTTATCTAGATTTGAGAGGGATAAATTAAAGTCCTTCACTATTATAGTTTTATTATCTATTTCTTCCTGTAACTCATTTAACTTTTCCTTTCAGAATTTAGATGCTTATGCTGCTTGGTACTTACGTGTATAGTATTGATATCAATTCATTATTTGTGGTGCCTTTCAGCAAAATGTTTTCTTTTTTTTATCTCTTTTAACTATGTATGTTGTTGCTATTGCTTTGCCTGAGGCCATGATTGCTAGCCCTGTCCTTTTTACTCAAGCTGTAACGTCATAGATTTTGCTCTAGCCACATATTTTAACTTATTTTACTTCCTTATGTTTCAAGTGTGTTTCTTGTATGTAGAATGTTATTATGTTCTGCTTTCTAGTTCATTCTGCTATCTCTTCTGTTTTATTGGTGAGTTCATACCATTCACATTCACAGTTATAATTGTTAATTTTGTCATTTCTCTTCATCCTATTCTCTTATACATTTCCTCCTCTTTGTTGCCCTCTTTAAGAGTTTGTTTTGCTTAAGACTAATTCCTCCAGTACTTTATCCTCGTAATCCCTTCCCCATATTGTTTTGCTCTTGAGTAAAATGAGCTCCTCTACCTGCTGTGTGTGTTTGTTTATTCTTTCCTCCTTTAACCAGTTCAGACAAATGAGATTTAAGTGTTGCTTGATCCCTCCACCTCTTCCTCTTCGTATGAAATTCTGTTGGCATGCCCTGATTTTGTCAGATAATTTTCCTCATCCTTCTTTCTCTTTCCCTTTCTCTCCCAAGTGTATTCCCCTGGCTATTCTATTGCAGTCCTAGAGTCAGAGCCACATAGCTGTTTTTTGCTTCTGAACTGCTCGATCATAATTAGGACCCATAGCCTCTCCTTGCTATGGAACACCAGCACTCAAGGAACAGGTTCCTTTCTTCATGTGACTTGGAGCATGGGCAATAAGCGGCAGAGCTACCAGTTGACACCACTTTCTATGCCCTGCGTGAGGTTGTGGTACCCCTGTATAATTCTAGCAGCTTGTCTTACTCAGGTACAGTCTCTTCTTCCTTGGTGCTCTGAGTGGTGCACTCCTGGTTAGACCCTGTCCCCAACATCCACAGGCTGTGGTTTGTCTCCTTAAACCAACCTGGACTTGGAAAATGAGTTACTATGATTTTTTGTTCCTTTCATTTCCTAATCAGGGCTTGATCTAGTGTGTTTTTGTGATCTCTGTGCAGGAGGTATTTTGGAGGAGCTGGGCTACACTTCTTCCATCTGCTCTGCTGTCTTACCTCTCCCTCTTTGTATTTGATTTTTTTTTAATAATCATTATTTGATCCACCAAGATTTATAGCTTTTTGCTGAGGTTCATTTGGGGAAGCTGAGCTACCTGCCTTCTTTCTTGTGGACTCATCTTAACCAGAAACCCATGTATTGACTTTAATAATAAGTTAGTATTGGTGTTATCTGTTGTTTTTATTTGAGTTCTGTTGCCATTTAAAGTTTTAAATACATAGTTATAATCATTGCATATATTCTTTTTGTACTTTTCTCTTCCCTCTGTATCCATTCAACTCTTAAGAGCCTATTTTCATTTTGATGTGAGGTCCTGGCCTACTAAGCCTAATTATATCCATTTTAAACAAAATTGAGGTCGTCTGCCATTTCAGTAGATTTCTTGGGGTAAAATTGTGAGATAACATAAGTAAAAGTTAAACACCGTGATAGGTAATTCATCATTATTCTAATCCAGTAATTGTTATGCTCAGGGCAAGAAGGGTCCAGACTGACGAGAGTCTCCACATGTCCTTGGACGTGTCTCCACACAAGTCATTTTGAGGTCCTGATTTATAAGATTCTTGTTATTTGAATATTTCACAGCCAGGGTTGATTAGTTTTAGGTAACATTTAGTTTACAGTTTGCTTCATTAAATAGAATAATCACTTAATCTTTCACTTGCCCTTGGAGAATCATGTTTCTAAAACTATTCGATCCCATATGATCGCTCCCCTCAAGGGTTATTTTTTCCAGCTGGTCAGTACTGCCAAACTTTCATTGAGTGAAGCAGTCAGAAACACTTCTTATTTCTCATCGTTCACCTAATCCAGTCAGGGTAGTTTATTCAAAGGCCTCATGCCCTAGTGTGATCACCTTTCTAATTACTTTATTGTAGGAGTCCTTCCTGGGCTGATCTGATGTGTTCAGTTAGATACAAATAATAGCTAATGAGTGGTGATTAATTTAGTTGCATTATGAGTTCTCAAACACTGTGTTTTACACTCTATATATGTTTTCAAGGTGTTTACATTAATATTCCTCTTAGATATAATCTGTGAACTAAGAGAAATTTATTAGTATTCATTATTTATTTTAGGTGTGTATGGATTGAAAAAGAGAGTATAAACTCTGTTATTATCAGCGATGCCCCTGAAGACCTCCACCAGCGGATGTTGGTTGCTGCTTCTCTTTCAGTAAATGCAACTGGTAACCTAAATATTTCTGTCTACCCCTTTTATACCTTGTATTTTCTTATAGGCCTGTCCTTAGCTACTGAACATAATTACTCTGAATAGTGAATATCTGTGCTTGAATTTCTTTTTTAAGCTTTGTTCAGTGTGAGATAGGAGCATGTAGCAAAGCTAATTTAGTTCTGTCCACTGCTTTTCTTTTCCTACGTGAACACTGCTGATTTCATTTACTTTCTTAACTCTTTGCTGTTACTGTACTTGTTATAGGATCTACTATGCTACTGAGAGAAACCTCTCTGATGCCTCATATTCCGGGACTGCCAGCATTGCTTAGTATGTTGTTTGCCCCAGTTATGGAACTGAGGTATGGATGCATAAGAAGTAATTGTTGGCCTATATAAGTTTCTCTGAATGTAACCTATGGCTCAGAGCCATCATTCTTGGATTATGTGTAATGGTTTTAATTTGGGGGACTTAAAGTGTGAATGACTCATTGATTCTCCCCCCCTCCATTTCCATAGCAACAGTAGAGTTTGGCTCACATTTCTATGGTCCCTTGGCTCCCATATGAGCTCTCAGGAAAACTGAATATTGTATATGAGACAGGTTAATTTAAACTTGACAAAAATCCAAAAAGACTTATATCTGAGTCCAGAGCAGCTCCCCTTCCTGTTTCTATACAGCCTGGACTTAAACTGCTTGCTTCTGGAGTCCAGGCCTCAGAGTTGGTTGTGAATTGCAGTCTATACTAGAACAAAGACTTCATCTGTGGTCATGGTGTAGAAGGGGGCTGTGATGGTTCATACCCTTTTTAAGTTCATGTTGTCGGGCAGCTAGGTGGTGCAATGTGTAGAGGACTGGCCCTGGATTCAGAAGGACCGGAGTTCAAATCCAGCCTCAGACACATAACAATTACTAACTGTGTGACCCTGGGCCAGTGACTTAACCCCATTACCAGGCACCCCCACCCCCCAATAAAGAAGTTCATATTGTGTCACAAAAACACAAGAGGCTGAAATGGAACATACTATCTACAAGAAATAATACGTTTTAAATTGGGGACATTGGATGTATAACAGAGTCCCACATGAGGTAGATACATCTGCTTTAGCACCTCTTTAATAGGTGATTATCTAGTCCTGCATATACTCATTGATAGGGGGAACCTTACTACCTCGTGAAATAGTCCATTATTTAAATGAAAGTTCGTTTCTGAATTTGTAAAGAAGCTGTAGAAGCCTATTTCCAGTAGTACTTCTGGACTCTAACTTGAGGTTTGCCTACTCTTCCCTCCTTAAGTACTCTTTATCAAGGAGTTAATTATGCATGATGTGCACATAGTATTGGATGGGCAAACAGATGGAAGAGAAGAGAGGGAATTACTTTAGGATAACTAGCATGTCCTTCATAAGTTATCTTCTCCTTACTAAATGTACCCTATTCTTTCAACCAGTCTTCACATGTTAGAACTTGAGAACCTTATACCATCCTGGTTGCCCTCCTCTGAATGTTCTCTATCTTACCAACATCCATTGTAAAATGTGGTGCCCAAAATTGAATACAGTACTCCAGGTGTAGTATGACCAGGGCAAAGTACTACAGAGCTGTCACTTCCCTAGAATGCCTCTTTTAATGGCAGCTTAATATTAGGTGAGCTTTCCTGGCTGCCTTAAAACACTGTTTACTAATGTTGAGCTTAAAAACAACAACAGTATTTTCCAGTTGGACTGTTGGGTCTAACTATACTACTCCCATCTTGTATCTTTTCTGAGCCTGTTTTACCCATTTTTGAATCCTGAATCTCTCACTTAGTATGTTAACTCCCAGCCTTGTGCCTTTATCCAAGTCACTGATAAAAATATTGAACAGTGTAAGGTCAAACACAGATCCCTGTAGACACAACACTAGAGACTACCTTCAGAATTGACATTGAATCATCAATAACTACTCTCAGGGTCCAGCCATTCGACAGTTCTGAGTCTACCTAAGTGTACTATCACCTGCCTCACATTTCTCCATCTTTTCCAAGAATTACATGAATGTCTTATCTTTTTTTTTTGCTAAAATTTAGATAGATTTTTATAGAGATAGATATATAGCATTCCTTTACTCTTTCTGTATGGCAGATTTTCATAAAAAAGAGATATGATCTGTTCTGTGTTCACTAATCTTGAAGCCTTTAATAACTAATAAATTTTATTTGCTCTCTCGTGTGACTTTATTACTGCTATTTACTTATTCTCCCATTTTTGAAGCTTGAGTCAGGACCATAGAAATTAGAACAGGAAGGAGCCTTAGAGGTCAACTAGTCCAACCCCTCATTTTATAGATGGTGATTAAGAACAAGAGAGATGAAATGACCTTCCAAGAATTCACATATGTTAAGCAGCAGAGTTGGAATAGGAAACCCAGGTCTGCTGACTCTGAATCCTGGACTCTTTTCATTATGCTACCCTAAATATGTTACCAAATCTTATTTACTGTACCTTTGTATCATCTGGCAGCCACCTGTGTGCTTGTCTCTATTCTCTTACTATCTTAATCCAAGACTTTATTAACCAGCTGACGTGGACTATGACAGTTGTCTCCTAGTGAGTCGTTCTGCCTCCATTCTTAACCGGCTCCATTTAAGTGTTCGTAGTCCTGGCAGACTTACCTTTCTCATGCATAGATATGATCTTTTCACTCCTGCTCAAGACTGTTTTGTAGCTTCATATTGTCTAGCAGGTAAAGTTTAAGCTTCATAGGCTGGTAAGCAATGCACCCCACATTCTATTAGAGCACCACCTGACTTTGAGAGACAAATCTCATATGTGCCCGTGTCCTACATTGCAGTCAAACTATACTTTGCTTTCCCCATAGAGGCACTTTTTATTCTCACCTCCATAGCCTTGTTCATACCACTCCCTCTATTAAGAATGGCATTTTTGTGTTTGTGTATATGTTAACTTCCCTTGCTATGTTGTAATTTGAGGAGGTCAGTGACTAATGTTTATATAAATTTTGTATCTGGGGGCAGCTAGGTGGCCCAGTGGATAGAGCACTGGCCCTGAAGTCAGGAGGACCTGAGTTCAAATCCGGCCTCAGACCAAACACTTGACACTTACTAGCTGTGTGACCCTGGGCAAGTCACTTAACCCCAATTGCCCCCCCCAAAAATTAAATTTTTATCTGGCTTTTGGCAGAATGTTTGTCAGATTTAATTCATTTGAATAGTTGAATTGAATTCCCAAAGACATATTAATTTAAGCTTTGTTTAAATGAGACTCAAGAGCATAAGAGCAAATGACTGCTTATATAGGGCCAAGTACTTGACGTGAAATGGTGCACATATCCATTACAAGTACTATCATAATGCATAAAATTCAAAATTTGGAAACACTCAGGTTTTAAGTCTTCTAGGTCAGTCATTTCACAGCTTTCACGTAGTGTTCTGTTTTACCATTAGTGATCTCTCTAAGTTTATATTGGTGTTATGCACTGCAAGTTTAAATTTCTGCCCTGGAATTTGACTAAAGTGGTGGTTTATTGCTGTTCATAAGAATTTTAAATAGGAATGTGCAACACTTTAGAATAAAAATAACACTTTGTTTTTGCAGTTTCCTGTCCAGTGGTACCTAGTATTAAATTTTGCCTATATTCTTTAGGGTTGATCAAAGTGGAAAGTGTTACACTGGTGCCCTTTGTGGTTTGGGGTGGAATCCAACTACTGGAACACCAGTACTGCCAGAGCATGACATTGAGTTGGCATTTGATGTCCAGTTGAATGTGGAAGACATCGTTGAGGTAAGATCATAGGATCTAGAGAAACAAGGGACCTTGGACAGCGTAAGATCATAGGTTTTCTTTACACATGAAAAAACAGAGACCGAATTAACGAGAAGCATTTATAATGTACCTACTGCGACTGGGACTAGGACATAGGGTTACAAAGACAAAGACATAAGAGTTTACATTCTATCAGAGATGACAGAGTGTGTGTGTGTGTGTGTGTGTGTGTGTATACGTATAAAATACAAGACATTGGGGGGGGGGGGCTTTGTACAGAAGATAGTACCTGAGCAAAATCTTGAAGGAAATGAGAGATTCTGTGAGGCAGAGAGTAGGGGAGAGTGTATGTCATCTGTGAGGTACAGCAAGGACAGTTTGGCTAGACCTCACGTGGAAACCAAGGCTCAGAGAGTGACTTTCCCAAGGTTGCAGGTATAAAAGAGCCATGATTTTAACCCATGTACTTCAACATACCACACCTTTTTTGGATACTGGGTCTCCCTGTCTCACTCAAGCTGTAAGGGTAGTAGCCATTTGTGGACAAGTCCCATGACACTGCTTATTAGCGTGGAAGCTTTGGCCAGCTCATTCTGACTTTAGCTGGTTCACTCCTCCTTAGGCAGCCCAGGGGTCTCCTGCTCTCAGGGGTTCACCTTATTGGTGGTGAAATTAGTGACAGAAATTCCATCAGCTCTAGCCCCACTGCATTCCAGACCTCTCAATCCCAAGCAGTCTGCCAGCTTCTTGTGAGCAGGAGATTACAGGTGTGTGTCACCACCACACTCAGCTAACTCAGATTTTCCTGGTCCCAAATCCAGTGTCCCTTTCACAGTATTGTGCACAATTGTTACTAATTGCTGAACTTGGTAACAGCTTGATTTCGTTGTTTTTCGTTTACCTTGCTTTTATTTATTGTTATCCTAAAGGATAAAGCAGTTCTTCTATCTTGAAATTTCTACTGCTGATGCTGTCCTTTTTCCCCCCCACAGAAATTATTGGATTTAGCTGTAGAGATAATTTAGTCCAACTTCCTAAATTTGCAGTGAGAAAATTGAACTTTGCCTACCTTGTCAGACTCCTTTGTACTCTGTATAAGGGGCTCCAACCTGCATGTCTTTTTCTCTCTCTTGTAATAAAATAAGTTGCTACTTGACTCTTTGGGGATTGTGACTGCTGGTTGACGTTGGGGTCCAACAAACAGGCCGTTGTGCCTTTGGTTTGATTTCACTCCTTAGCCAACCTGTAACTGTAGGCAGAAGCCCCCTGTTTTCTTGATTTGTGTTCAGATCCTCCCTGGAGGAAATGTAAATGTTTAGCTTACTGTAACTGCCAGCTCTGTCCTGGACCCTACTCTGTACTCTCTCTAAACTATTTTGCTTTATGACCTCATCAGCTCCCATGTTTTCAGTTATTATCTCTATTCAAATGATTTTCAGATCTACTTTTCCAGCTCTTACCTCTCTCCTGACCTCTTGTCTCATATCTCCAAATACCTACTGGACACCGCAAAATGCATATCCTGTAAATGTCTTAAACCCAACATATCCAGAACTGAACTTTTTATGTCCCTCCAAAACCTTCTGTTCCTAACTTTTTTATTACTGTCAAGAGCACCGGCATTCTCCCAATTACCTAGGCTTATAATCTAGCTGCCAGCCTATGCTCTTCACTCTGCCCCCCCCATCCAATCTGTTGCTAATTCCTATTGATTTTGCTTTTGCAGTATGTCTCACATATGCTCTCTTCTCTCCTCTGACATAGCCACCACCCTGATGCAGGTCATCATTGCCTAACACCTAGCAATATTGCCATAGCGGTCTGTTGGTTGGTCTCCTCATATCAAATCTCTCCCTACTGCAGCTATCAAACTGGCCACCACCCTATTCAATAAACTTTGGCGGCTGTTACCTTAGGGATGGGGTGTTTTAAGGATTATAGTGAAAAGGGAAGGGCTCATGGGGGGAGAAAGGGAGCAGTAGGGGAGGGGGAGCAAGAGGGAGCAGAAAGGTCCCCTCACCTCCCACCCCCGCCTTCCTTGAGAACTGCCAGACCAGGAGGGAAGATGTCTGTGCTTATCTGAAGGGTCCTGGCTGCACAGTTTATCAGTCTGGGTTAGACTGGCTAGAGCCAGGTTTGTACCTCAGCTTTAAGGGCACTGAGAGTTTAATAGAGTTCAGTTGCAAAGGATCACTGTTATGTTAGTTCAGGGGGAGGCTTTATCTCTGCAAAATAAGGGGGATGATATTGACATTTCCATACCAGCTAGAATATTCTTCTCCTTTGTCCCATTGGAAAAAATTAGGCTTGCCATTTCCATGCTGAACATTCTTATTCTTTTGATGAAGTGCATCCTCATCCTTGTCTGACTTTGTAGGCAGAGATGGATGTACAGAATGGAGAGTTTCTTTTACTTGAGCACTGGAACTCCTTCTTTTCCCAGTTTTTGGGAAAATAGGAAAATGGTGGGTCTAGTGGCAGGTCACTACTGAGCTTGACCTTCCTTACAGATGGATCTGTGGCACTTCTGTGTAGGCCTGTAGCTGGGAAGGGGAGAAGGGATGGAATAAATATATATATAGTGCCTCCTCTGTTCCTGGCACTGTGCTAAGCACTTTACAAGTATTGTATCATGTAAGCCTGACAACAACCTTGCAAGGTATGTGTTAATATCCCCATTTTACAGATAAGGAAGTCAGGGCAAACAAGAGCTTAGTGACTTTTCCTGAGGTCACACAGCTATTCCATATCCGAGGCTGGATTTGAACAAAGGCCTTCCTGATCCCGGTTCTATCCTCTGCACAGCCAGCTGCCTCGTTTGGAGCTGTGGATGAATTTTAGCTTTTACATTTTGTTATTTAAGTTTGGTCTGTGATTTTGAACTGCTGTTTTCTGAGAGGAATTGTGACTTCTGTGTAATGGCAAGCCATTTACCTTTCCTGTGCCTCAAGATTAGAGAGGGGCAGCTGTTGTCCCAGTTTTCAAAACAGCAGCAAAGAACAGGGTCCACACATACAGACCCTTGAGTTATTAATGTGGTAGCTAGGGAACAGAGTGATCACAAAGTGCTCAGAAGCCTGACAGCATGACTGCATCCAGAGCAGCAGGCCGCGTCAGACTAACCTCATCTCCCTGTTGGACGTGTTTGCTGAACTAACAGATCAAGTCAGTGTTGGTGCCGTTGTACCTAGATTGCAGCAAAATATGATAAATCTCTTGTGTTAGTCTTATGAAAAAGGAGGATAAATGTGTCCTAGAAGATACTGTAATTGGTTAGATTCAGAACTTCTCAAATGGCTAGATCCAAATTATTTTTATTAATAGTTTTATGTCATCTTAAAGGTTGCCAATCTCCCTTATCCCACTCCAGTGCTGTTCTGTGCTGGGCCTTATTCTAACCCTTTTGTCAGTGACTTAGTTAAAAGGGGGTAGGAGGGTGGTGGTTAGGTGGTGCAGTGGAGTTGAACTCCTGGTCTGAGTTCAGATCTGGTCTCAGACATTTATTAACTGTGTGACCTTAGGCAAGTCACTTAATCCTTTTTGCCTCAGTTCCTGTAAAATGAGCTGTAGAAGGAAATGGCAAACCACTCCAGTATCTTTGCCAAGAAAACCCAAAATAGAGTTACGAAGAATTGGACACAACTGAAAAAAAAATAAACAACTACATAAAAGGCATGGGTGGAATATTCATGCAGTTTGTAATTGTCACAAAATTGGGAGGCTTGATGGAAGGCAAAGTTTCCTAATAGAGCTATTTAATAGTGGAATGGATAGTGGATTCCTTTCTCATCCGAGGACTTTTTTTTTTAAGCAAAAACTCAATAACCATTTGTCAGATATGTTACAGAGAAGATTCTTTTGCAGATGCGAGTTGGAACAGATAGTCTTTGAAGTCCCTTCCACCTCTGAAATTCTGTGATTCTGTAGAACCTTGGGGAGATAAGAGCTTTGATTTGTTTTTCTTGGACATAAGGCAGTACCAGAACCAGTGAATGAATATTATGGAGGGATAGATTTCAACTCTGCGACATAAGCACAAAATTCTTACTGATTCAAGCTGCCCAAAAGTAGAAGCTACTGCCTCAGTAGCTGATAGTGAGTTTCCCATCATGGAAGTCTTTCAGTACAAGCTTAGATAACTGCTTGGCTAAGCATGCTGAAGAGAAAGATTGAAGATTCAGGGATTGGTTGGACTAGATGCCATTTTAGATTCCCTTCACCTCTCAGGTTCTATTATGCAATTCAATTTGACAAACATTTTATTAAATCCCTGTTTTGTATGTGATACCATGCTAGAAATATAGAAATTATAAGTGCAAACATAAAATTAAAAGTCTTTTAAAAACCGTCTTGATTTTTTTCATACAGTAACTCTGTCAACACCACTCTACGTCCTCACATCTGTGGAGAGTATGAGGTTGCCGTCCTACTTACTAAGGCTAACTTCCTTATCTGTTCCTTTGATACCATTCTCTCCCGTCTCTTTCAGGAAGAAGTTAAATGCATTGACCCAGTCAGCACTTTTAAGAAGCAATTGAACCTTACATTTTAGGCATTTGTGAAATGCTTGTTAAAGAAAGGTGAAGAAACTTTTATAACAGTGGTGATAGGGTTGAGAATACACACTGGCCCCTTCTAATGAGCCAAATACTCTGACCCCTTGATAAAGGACATATGCGACATGCTTGTCACTCCCATTTGTCCTGTGATGGATACATGGGGTGGGGGGAATTATGTAAATATGAAGTATTATTGACTTAGCCAAGAAGATCCGCCCACTCAGTACCCTGTAAGAGGAACTGAGGAGAAACAATTTCTTCCCTCTTCCTTTCTCTTGCAAAGTGACTTCTTCATTGGAAGAGGTCTGGTCTTGCACAGTCACTAGCTCTTGCACTTCCAGAAAGCAGTGGAGAGATTTCTCTGCCATTATTCATGAAGTCACCAATGCTGTATTCTCCTCCCTTCTCTGCCCACCCTCCCCTTTTCCACTTGATGTAAGTCCAAGAGAGAGAGTGGGCCCTTTCTAGGTCCAACAAAGACTAGACAGAGAAAGAGAGAGACAGAGAGAGACACAGAGAGAGAGAGAACTTGTTTCTTCTCAGTTCCTCATGTAGCCTCTTGAACAGGCAACTCTTCCTGGCTTAGTGATCAGTAGTCTTTGGCACAGCCCCCCGTTACTGACCAATCAGGAGTCTCTGGTTGTTCATGTCCTTTAGCCCTAGTATGTGGCCCACCAGTAGGGATCAGGATGGATGCTCAGCCACATGAGGAAATGAGATACATGTCATAAATATGATAGGTATACGATAATAAGGACAAAAGAGAGAACCAGACAGAGTGACAGAAGAAACTTTAAGGAGAGAGAACAGAAAAGACCAGGGAAAGTTAGATGGAGGAGTTGGTTTCCTGAATTGGAGATGAAAGGAAAAAGATTTTAGTAGATACAAATGAAGAGGAAGTATATATTAAACATGGGGGATTAACTACCCAAATCCACAGGTACAAGACAGGGTAGGAGAAAACCAAGAAAACCAAACTACTAGCTAGTAGTTCAGTTTGGTGAAAAGTAGCATATGTGAAAGAACTAAAATAAAACTGGAAAGGTTGGTTGTAACCAGTTTGTGAAAGGTCTTAAATCCAAGCTAGAGAGTTCGTAGTTTATCCTGTGAGAACTGGAGAGCCACTGAACATATGTAATACATAGGAGAATTTCAGGTTCAGATCTATACATTATGAAAATTAATGTGGTAGGTTTTGTGGGATGGACTGGAATGGGGAAAGGCTGAAGTCAGGAAGACAGGATACTTTTAAATTAGTTTGGAGAATATTAAAGAAGAAGATCGACTGGACTTAGCAGTTGATCAGATGAGGAAGAAGGAAGAAGCAAAGATCACTGATCTTTTTTAGCCTGGTACGTTGAAGGATTTTATCAACAGAAATGGGGAAGCTGGAAGAAGGGACATATTTGGATGAAGAGGAGTTCGGTTTAGGACAGTTTAATTCAGGGAACCAAGGAAACTTTAAGGTGATGTCCATCAAGCTATAGGTAATAGAGAGTAAGAATTCAGAAGAAGAGATTGGGTCTAGAGATAGAGATTTCAGTACCTCTGCCTAAAGATGCTATTTAAAACTGAGATTGACACTAGATGGTGTCTATCAAACAACAAGCATTTATTAAATACTTATAGAGAAAAAAGAAAGCACTAGAGACACTTGGAGTTTGAGAAGACAAGCCAGCAAAAGACACCAAGAAGGAGTAATCAGATGGGGATAGAAGAGAAGAATGTCATGGAAGCCAAGTGAGGAGAAAGTTATCAGGGAATGAGGATTAAACCATATCAGAATTTGAAAAATAAAGACATAAAAATGGTTCGTGGCTTTCACCAAAGGCCATATTCATAATCTTGAAGAAAGAAATTGCAGTACAGTGGTGAGGATACAGTGAAGATTATAGAGGGTTGAGGAGTGATTGTAGACAAATGGTTCTCAAACTTTTTGGTCTCAGTACTCTTTAACTCTTAAAAATTATTGAGAATCCTTCCACTCTAAAGAACTTGTGTTTATGGGGGCTGTATCAGTAGATACTTCAGAAATTAAAATATCTTAGTATTATGAAAATAGTTTTGACCTTGTGGACCCCCCGAAAACATCTTGGGGAGACCTAGATGTCCCCAAACCATGCTTTAAAAGCTAGGTGGCGCTGTGGATAGAGCACTGGCCCTGAAGTCAAGAGTTCAAATCTGGCCTCAGACCAAACACTTGACACTTACTAGCTGTGTGACCCTGGGCAAGTCACTTAACCCCAATTGCCTTTAAAAAAAAAAAACACTGGCATGCAATACCAGTACTAGGTCTGTATCCCAAAGAGATTATACAAATAGGAAAAGGATCTACATGTACAAAAATATTTATAGCAGCTGTTTCTGTGGTCGCAAAGAATTGGAAATTGAGGGGATGCCCATCAGTTGGGGAATGGCTGAACAAGTTGTGGCATGTGAATATAATAGAATACTATTGTGCCATAAGAAATGATGAGCAGGCAGACTTCAGAAAAACCTGGAAAGACTTGTATGGACTGATGCTGAGTGAAGTGAGCAGAACCAGGAGAATGTTGTACACAGTAACAGCCACGTTCTGTGATGACTAACTTTGATAGACTTAGTTCTTCTCAGCAATGTAAGGATCTAAGACAACTCCAAAAGATTCACGATGGAAAATGCTGTCCCCATCCAGAGAAAGAATTGTGGAGTCTGAATGCAGATCAAAGCATATTATTGGATCTCTTTTTTTTCTTTTTTTGTTTGTTATTTCTTGTGGTTTCTTGCATTGGTTCTAATTCTTCTTTACAACATGACTAATGTGAAAATGGGTTCAATATGAATGTATATTTAGAGCCTATATCAGATTGCATGCCATCTTGGGGAAGAGGGCAGGGAGAGAGCAGGAGAAAATTTAAAATTCAAAAGCTTTTGGTAGTGATTGTTGAAAACTAAAAATAAATTAAAAACAAACAAAAAAATAATAAAAACTACTGGTATAAACTATTCTTTCTAGAAATTTAGTAGTGAAGGGGAGGTTAAGCAGGTTGCAAATGAAGGGTTTTTTTTAGGATAGGGAAGATTTGAACTTTCCTTCACTACTTTACTTTGTAGATACTAGGGAAAGGTAGCAGCGGAAAGGAAGATTAATGATGGAAAAAGAGAAGTGGTCGTATAGGAGAGAATTGTATCAAGGGTACAAATAAAGAATTTAGTCTTAGCAAGTACAGAGACAACCCCATCCTTTAAGACTTAATAGAGGAAAGGGGAAGACCTGTGAGGATATGTAAAAGTGTCCGTGTAATACCATGAAAACTTTAGTGAAGGACGATTTTATAAAGTTTTTTTTTAATTTAGTGTTTTCATGCATAATAACATGTAGGTTTTTCTGAATTGTGGTTTTTCAAGTTTTATAAAAATTCATGTTTTGTATTAAATAACATTTTAAGTGAACTGTTTCAATTTCAGGTGTAAGTTAGCCAAGATCGATAATCTTGATAGTGTTTTGTGTTATCATTTATGTACAGATTAACATTCTTCGGGTAGCTATTAACAAGATAGTTTGTGATGGACCAAATGGGTGCATGTATCTTGGGCCTGAAAGAATTGCACAGCTACAAGATAATGCTCGGCAGAAACTTTTAGGGTGAGTTTTGTTAAGATATTTGACATTCTTTCTGGTTCAATTTTCTTTGCTTTCTTATATTTCCCTCCCTCCTATTTTGAGTGTCATCTCTTTGATCCCCTTTTAGAGCTTGAATTGCTATTTTGGTTCCTAACAGATTTTCTTAATTGAACAACAAGAATTTCTTTTAAAAACCAGTTAATAGAAACTGAGTTGGAGCGGGACTATTGCCAATCTTAATGACGTAAGGAGGGCGTGGGATCAGGTACACGTGATCACTCACAGCGATGGGAGTGACGGGAGCAGGGCGTAACTTCTACACCCGTCCCTTCTGACTGCTCATGCAGGATTCCCCACAAAGTACCGCCTCACCCTACATTCAGCACTCCTTATAGATTTTCAGTTTTGCTTTTTAAGCTGCAGTCACACTGACAACGCATTACTTTCAAATGTGGAAGAAATAGAATTTGCTTTTGATAATTTAAACTTTCTTGCATTTATTTTGTGCTTTTGCTAGTTAAAAGTTAATTTAGTATTTGAATTTATTTAACAACGAGAAACATTATGTAGTGAAACAATTATAGTAATTTATATAATTCCTTAATATGTAATGTAATTAAACATGTAAAAACTGGGATAGCTAAGTGGCACAGTCTGCACCGAGTATAGAGTGCCAGCCTAAAGTCAGAGTAACGAGTTCAAATCCAACCACAGCCACTAAATAGCTGTGTGACCCTGGATGAGTCATTTAACTTCTGTTTCCCTAAGTTGACTCATCTGTAAAATGGAGATAATTATAGCACTTTCCTCCCAGGCTTGTTGTGAGGTTCAAATAAGGCTATAATTTTAAAGGGCTTAACATAGCAGATAGTAAACACTATATAAATGTTCATTATTTTTATTTTTTCCCAATTTTAAAAGTAAGCCATTGATTCAATAGTATTAATGAGGTTTCTTGAATCTTATTTTAAAAAAACCACCCTGGTTTAAAAAAAAAAAACTAGTTAACACATTTACTATAATTTGTGACTGAAATGTTGAGGCTTTCTATAGATATTTAACCCCAAAAATGGATATATCTTTATAATGTCAATAGAAATGTATATGACAACATCATGGCTATTTAAAATAACATTTGTCATCAGTTGTCATAGTTTGGTCATGTAGAAGGGCATGGCACTCCCAGTAGCATCTGTGATGTAGTAGCATTTATTTTTAGCATGAACAGGCCAGTACTTCAGCAAGGACTGATTGCTGAGGAAATTCAGTACTGTTTGGCCCTTGTGATGGTGTGAAAGATCTGCTAATAAAGTGAGTCTGCTTCAAACTTACTGCTCCGTTTTGGAACGTCTTTTTTTTTTTTAAGTATGAACTACATAAAGCTATTTGGGACAGCCATATATAAAGCTGTCAGCTTTCAAACTTATTATATTTATACCATATTACTGCTGTTCAAGGCAAAAATATATATTTGCAAAATCTATTCAGAAACAATTCAAATATATGGTTATGTTTCAGAGGGCCTACAGTGGGCAGGCAGAAAATATATAGCAATTGAATAGATGCAGACAAAAACAATTTAAAAGTATTAATTAAAGAAGGCAAGAGGCATTTGAAGTAGTGGACCATAGAGTCAGGAAGACTTGGGCTGAAATATTGCCTCTTGCATGAAATAGCTTTGTGACTGTGGGCAAGTCACTTAGTCTCACATTGCCTCCAGTGATGAGGAATACAAGTGGGAAATGAGTTGCCAGTCTGTACCACTGAAGTGCTTTTCTTGACCAAGACATACTTACAAAGGTACACGCTGAAAAGAGACTTTGGGAATATAGAGGTAGAACTGGAAGGGCCCTGAGGGTTCTAGCCCTTCACATCCAAGTGATGAAGTTGGGTCCAGAGCAATTGTGGCTTCTCTAAGGTCTGTTATTAGGTATTAGTGGCAGAGACAGATGTTGCACAGCTGTTCTCTGATTCCAGTACAAGTCCAAGATTCTTTCCACTGCCTTGCCTACTGTCTTTTGTCACATGATAGACTTGTCCTCTTTTCTCCTGCCTGCTAGAATGTGTAAAGCACACTTTTAATTATGTTCTTCAGTATCACCAAAAACCAAAACAAAACTGTGTGGATGCCCCTCAACTGACAGAGATTGAAATCCCAGTACAGCTTAGTGCAAAGGTTCATGAATTTCTGCATACAAAAATATTCATTTCCTACTAGCCCACCTCTTAGCAATGAACCTTTCTGCATTCCATTAGGCTAGCCTTCCAATGACAGGGCAAAGTGCTTCTAAATCTTTCCCATTGGGTAGGACCTACAAGAGCTTGCAGTCTCCTGTTTGAGAACCCCAAGTGATTGACTCAGATACTTTAAAATGGAAATGACTCATTTGAGAGGAATAGAACACATTTTGTCTGTTCACCAGTAAGGACTCTTACATCTGCTTAGTTTTGCAGTATTTTTGTTAATCTTTAGCAACTTTTTTTTTAAATTTTCAGTCTGTTCTGCAAATTGAAACCAAGAGAAATAATTGTTCCCACATGGTATGAAAAAACATATGATTGGAATCAGGTAAGCTTCTAAGGTGTTAAACGAGTGAAACAACCTGTGTTGGGGACTGGTTTAGAATTAGACCATTGGTTAAGATAGGAGAAGTTAAGTTTGGAAAAGGGTCAGGAGTAAGGTGGAGGTAAGCATTTTCATCTTTGTATCCCTCCCTAATCCCTGATTAATGCCTTCCTTTTACTGCCAAATGAAGACACTCATGGCCTCTGCTTCTACAAGACTTAACTCCTTTAATCAGCTGCCATACCCTTCTCACTTGTGAAACTGATCAGTGACTGCCAAATTCAGTAGTCCTTTTTTTTTTTCCAATCCTCATGTCCCTATGAGCACAGGTTTGACTTCAACCCAAAAGTGTTTGTTAACAGAGACAGGGTCGGGGTGAGTCCAATTGGTTAGGGTACAAGGAGTCACTTTAGATTAGACCGGTGTCCAGAGATTTGTGAGAAAATGGGAATTAGAAAGGGAGAAGGAATCGGAGAGCTGATTTGGTAGTGTATTAACTGAGTACTATATCTGCAGATTTCTCAGAAATAGCTGCTTCCTAGGAAGGTCATTTCTACACAAAGTACTTTGGGAATAAGCAGGGACACTAGGTCAGACTAGACTGACCTGACATCTTTGAAAAGCGGATTATAAATTACCAGTGCCCTGTCACCTTGGGATCATTTCAAAATATGTCTTGTACTAGACCTGTCACTTTACGTAGGTAGAAGTAACAAAATCTTAGAACTGGTGGGAACCTTAGAAATGATCTCAACCTCATGCCTTCAATCGAAAGATAAGGAAACTGAGAAGTGTAGTTTCCCAGTTTTCATTCTGTAGCAGAATTCATTTTTGTGACTTTAAGATTTCCCAGTATCACGGACACAGGGAACCTTAACTGAAATGCAAGGCTTAGAAAATGTAATGGAAACAATCCTTTTCATTAAAATTCAGGCTGCCAGTTGGTGTTGTAACCTTAACCTCTGAGCCCAAAGGATTCTTGATTGGAGGAACTGAGCTAAAGTATTAATTTTCATTCCTCCTTGCAGCTTAGGTTGGAAGGCCATCCTTCAGGTTGTTTCCAAATCTTGATGTTGAGTACAACCATACTTCTATCCCTCATCTCTCTATGAGAAAGATTCTTTTAGGGGGTTCTCAATGCTCAGTAATTAAATTTGTACCCATGTTAGCACACTGTTCTGAAGGGATGACCTGAGAAAAGGAGCACTTAATTGGGCTGTTAGAAGATGACAGTGACGTGTTTTAGAATAGAAAAGCAAGATTTAATGTTAAAGAAATATTTTGAATGGCAAAGAACATTTTTCTCATGGCTTAAGGAACAAAGATATATTCACAATTTTAAAATCACCAGCAGTAATAAATAATTTCCTCACTATTGTACTTTTCTCTTTTTTAGGTAGATCCAAAGCTGATCATGGAACAGTCTGACAGGGAGAGCGGAAGAGGAAAACGTACATTCCTCTATCAGCTTCATAAACTGATTGTATTAAGTACCTAGATAGTTCATCGAATCACAATCAAGATTCAGCATAAAGGAAGTTATGTAAAAATGGGTTTAAGTTCTTTGTACCTTTCTTTTACCAAGAATTGTCACCAGTGGGCCTACAGTCCACTGCACTGGAGAGGGGGACATCCAAGGGCTTCCACAGCTTGTAAGGGGGACTGGAGGTGGGAATAGGATAGTGTAGTGGGAGCATGGGAAATCCAGCCTTTCCATAAAAAAATGAAAAATCATTGTAGAAAATAACTTTTTTGCCAAAGCTGTTCAGAAGGAAGATTTGTTTAAAGAAGAGCTCCTATTTCCTTTTTACTCTGCTGCTAATTCAGGTAGTATGAGGTGGACAGAGTAGCTAATATTCTGTGTGCTCTTCTGAAAATGGGGGTATTTTTCTGTTGTTTCAGCAGTTTAAAGGCTTATTCAAGATACAAGGCCTAGGAAGCTTGGGTTGTCATGAGGGGAAGTCTAAGTGATGTTTATGGCATATTCTAATTTTTGTTTTGTGAGGAAGAAAACTTCTGTTTTGTATACTTTAAATGTTTATTCAGGTCCCCCTTCTTAGGTCACATATGATGAAGCAGAGAGTACTTTTCACCCGATATAGCTGTGTTACAACAATAAAAGTTATGAGGTAAAGTCACTGGTGTTAACCATTTTTTAGTCAGAGAAGTACAAATGTTTGCAACTTTAAGAAAAACCAATAAGCAGCAACAATTATTCAGTCAACAAACATGAAATACCAAAGGCCAAATATCCCACAGTACCTGTCACCATGGAACTCGATATTTAGATGGAGGATGAGACACAGATAACTATAACGAACAACATTACATAATAATTGCATTAGTGCCGCATGAAGTCTAAGGTGGAAGCTCATTAATTGTTGCACAAAAAGCTTCAACACAAATTTCTTTGTAACAACCAGCTCCTAAAAGAGTCTTGCTTTTATAAAAAAAAAAAAGAGTTTTTCCTTCTGCTTTTCTGAGATATATCTGTTAAGTAAAAGGAGATGTGCTTACAAGGGATCAGGAGTGCTGAAGATGGTAGCCAGGATACTAATCATTGTTGTTCCCAAATGTGACTTCCCTCTATTTGAAATCCTTATTTTTCCATGTATTTACATATTGCCTGCATTGTTTGAAGCTGTCATTACGTTGTGGTTAGACCTATCAGCAAAAAGACAGAAAGGGACTTGGAAATAGGATCAAGATTGTAGTAAGAAGAATGAGCATAATTTTGTGATGACATGCATGCAGTGAGCAGTGTTGTTATGCTGCTCTGGTTAATTGACCAATATCAGTTCTCAAAGTTCTCCCTCATAAAATAGAAGGTAAAGGGACTCAAAGAACACTTTTCCACTCTTTAGTTTACTTAGGAGATTGAAATATTCCAGACTGGAATCCTGTTATGTGTTAGAATATTAGAGAGTAGAAGAATGAATGCTATGGGGGGGGAGCGAGGAAGGAAGGAGAACTAAGGCCTTTCCTAAGACAAAAGAACTGGATGTTTTGAAGAGGAAGCAGCTCCTTATCTTCTAAAAAATGATGATGCACATGCACAGGTTGTCAGTTGAAAAATCATTCGGTGTCTGAGGAAGAAGAAATGAATAGTGCTAGCTGGCACCTCCTACCTGAGGGAGACTGTTTGATCTGACAGCAATAATAAAGCCTGTTGTTTTCCCGGGGCATGTATCTGAGAGATTACCAAACCTTTCAAGATCTGTCAAATTGATGTTAATCGGCTATGTCACCTGTAGCTTTTTGTCCCTCACAACTTGGTGTTCATATGGATGAAAATTCAGTCCTGATATTTGATCCCAAATTGTCCTCAAGAGGAATTACTCCAGAATCTGTAAATAAAGATTGGCTATAGCTCATGTTTAGATTTCTCCAAAAGGTAAAAAGATTCCCCAGCTCCCATGCTCAATGTAGCAAATGCAAATCAGGTGGAGGACAGCCTTTATTTGAGCCCACAGAAAATGCAGAGTCCTTACAGGAACCCAGAAACAGATACATGAAACACTTAGAATTGAACATAAACTTCCCCTAGAAGAAACCAAAACTTGGAGTTGCTATCTGGGCAACTCTTTGATGTTCCTGTGTGTTCCTTTTTTCCTACAGAGTCCTACATATTCCCCTAAGACATAAGATCTTCCCTTGTGGTTTATACTCATCCTAGAAGGAAAATGAATTTTAGGGGTTGTGGATGAAGCAGTCTCTCCACATTACACCCATACTGTCCAAGTAACTCACCAGAACAGTAGAGGATGTGAAAGTCCGGATCTCTTCCTCTCCCTCCACCCCCCAATATGATATTATGATGTGTCTTTATCATTTCAGTTGCTTGGATCATGTTGGCAAGTCTTTTCCTCCACTAAGGAGCGCACTGTTGAGGAGATCTGCTAGAAGAGCCTCCTTAATCAGAGGCAATGGCTAGATTTCAAGTGGTCCATGAATTTGATGTGAAAACAATTACAGCTTTATTTTTACTAACTGAAATTAGTGCTGAACATCATTCTGAGAAGGATTCTTCACTAGACTGCTTAAGGGGTTCATGACACAAAAAAGTTAAGAGTTCTTGGCCTAGAGGGACAGTGCCCAAAGTTTCAAACTTAAGACATCTCAAATTCAAGAATTCCTTTCTGTTTTCCTGATTTCTACTTAATTCACTGTGCATTCATTCATCTAAATCTTTTTCATGATTCAGTGAATTCTTCACGTTCATAATTATAGCACAATAATGTATCATTATATTCATATTCCAGTGATGGGAATGTGCTCTGTTTCCATTTTTTTCTTGCCATGGAAACTGCTGCTATGAATATTTTGGTGTAGATGTGACATTTCCTTCCCGTCTTTTGATACCCTCGGGGTATTTGCCTAGTAGTACTATGGCAGACGCTGTCGTAGCTCACGTTCATAGATGATGGAGAAGTGCAGCTCTTCCTTTTGTTGTCGTTGAGTTGTTTCTGTCGCGCCTGACTCGGCGTGACCCCATTTGGAGTTTTCTTGGCAAAGGCACTGGAGTGGTTTGCCCTTCCTTCTTTAGCTTATTTTACAGATGAGGAACTGAGGCAAACAGGGTGAGGTCACATAGCTGTTAAATGTCTGAAGCCAGATTTGAACTCTGGAAGATGAGTCTTCCTTTCTCCAGATCCAGCATGTTAGCCACTGCACCACCTAGCTGTCTACATCTCTTAGGGTTGGTCCAGTTTGGTATCTCTCTGTTAGGGGCTTCCACATTACACTGAGCTAAAGCTGAAACTTGAAAGCTTCTTGTCAAGGATGGGGCAAAACTAAACCTTGGTTGTGTCATTATTTGTGAGAGTGACAACTTCCCATAGGTCAGGGCCCCCTTGGTGCATGTGATGACACACCCCACACCCATGAAGCCCACTAGTTTTAAGGTGATTTAAGTCATGCCCCACTGCACTGTGAAGATCACTTCCAGAATTAAGCCTTTTCCAATCCTCCTGAGAGGAGTGCACTGGAGTAGAGACAGGTAATAGCACAAAATTAACGAGGCCAGCTGGATTTGCACATTATGATACAAAGGATTACCAAGCATAAAACAGATGACATACTGAAAAGTATTCATTTAAAAATTATCCAATCTCCTGAATTTGCCGAATTATCCCTAAAGAGAAGTCGATTACTTTTAGGATCTCTTACTCTCCAGTCATTCTGAGAAGAGTCTAGTGGAGAAGAATAACAGTTAATATTGGGATCAGTAACAATGCAACAGGAAGGGCCAGTGCCATCTGCATCGTCAGCAGAAATATGAAATGAAGCAAGTGGTAAAACACAAACCATTCATCTTCCTATGTTTACCAGTTTTCCAAGAAAATGGGTGCTTCTCACTTCCCCACCCTTTCTGGAAGAGTTGAGAGAAGAAGAAAGAACAATGAGTAACCTCATTAAGGTTAGGCAAAATAAAAAATGCATCATCTGTCCAAATAAGGGGCAGGTTTTACATGGGAGAAGTGTATCCAAGAGTCCTTTTCTCCAATTTTGATTGCAGCTGGAATGGTCAGCAGTACTTGGAACAGGCCTTCCCAAGTGGGTTAAGTTCTTCTGGTCGACTGGAAATTCTTGGTGTAGATCATACTTGCAGGTTGAAAGTCATTCATTGAGAAGTACAAGGGCCCAGTCTATACTGAGGCTTCCGTGTCATGAAGTTCCCTCTGTCTATTTTGTAGTTCCTGTATATAGGAAGCAATAGAAGTATCTCCCAGTATTCATGGATGGACTGTGGAGAATGGTTTTGCCTTTATAGGAGGGTACCCCAAAAGCATTTCAAAAGGAGAGACATTTAATTAATTCCCAATGGGGTCTGCTCCTGAGGTAAAACAATGCAACGGGGAGGACATTAGGCCACTTAAGGTGATTCTCAGAGCACAATTTCCAACCATAATCAAGTTGCACTTGACCTGGCCTGAACTCTGAGGGTAGTAAGGGATATGAAATCTAGGAGTCACCCCAAGACAGTGAATTTGGGAGAGGACCATGTTAGTGAAGTGAGAGCCTGTTTCTGGGTCAACACAAGCCAGAAGCAGAGTGGGGCACAATTTCTTTTAGAATGATCTTAGCAACAAAACCAGCAGTAGCTTTTGCACTAGAAAGGCTTCTTCCTAGCAAGTCAGCTAATCAGTGATTACAAGACAACCTTTATAGTGGCCAGGTGAAGGTCTATTAATGAAATCTATTTGCAAACATCCAAAAGGAATATAAACTAAGGGGCATTCACTGAAAGCAATTGCATGTAATAACAGGGGCCACCTATGCCCTTGTAATACAGCCAGTGAATCTGAGTGAAGTAAATGCCCTACAGAGCAAAGAGAGGGTCCAAAGGACTGAGTGGAGACCCAAAATAGCGCCCTTTTTGTTCTAATAGAAAAGGACTTACTGTAATTTGGGGGCCCCAACATGGAGCGATAGAAAGGCTCTGGTAAGGTCTACGAGTGCAGTCGGGTGTTGGGGTTCAAGCTGCGAGGGCTCTAGATTAGAGCCTTTAGTTAGAGAAACTAGAGGTTTAGTGATCTCGCCAAAAGATGGAATCTGCTGTCGGCAATACCCAGCTACGCCCCCAGTAGCGTGCAGTTGGTTTTTTTGGTCACAGGCACAGACGAGTGTTGGAAAGCCTGGGAACACTTGGGATGAACGGAGCGAGTGCCGGCGGACAGAATGAAACCGAGGTACTCCACTTGGGGGAGGCCTCTGTGCCGGCACTTTGGAAGCGTTGTGACCTTTCAGGTGAAGCTGGAGGAGAAGACGATGGTCATCCTGGCAAAACTCCACACTGGGGGCAGGTAGCAGGATCTCATCAATATAGTGAGCCAGCGAGGAGTCCGCGAAGGTACTGGTAGCCAAATCCTGCCGCCGAGTTTGAGAGAACAGGGTGGGTCTTTCTGCACATGCCCTTGAGGCGGAGGAGTCCACATCCATCGTGTGCTGTTCCTAGTGAAAGCAAACAGGTTTGGGGAGTCTGGGTGCATTGAGATGCTAAAGAAAGTTAAGCAAAGATCTATCACAGTAAAACAGGCGACCTTACAGCCAGTTGTGGAGATGGTAATAGAAGGATTGGGAACAACTGGGTGCCTGGGTCTAACGTAAGCATTAATAGCACGTAAATCTTGTACGGAGCATCTAACAGGTTTGCTATCAAGGCCTGGCTTGGGTTTTTTTTAACTGGAAGAAGAAACATGTTACACAGAATTGATCCCTCAGAGAGTCAAAAATGGGTGTAGTCCCTTTGATGGGCTCCCTAAGCAAAAGATATTAAGGAATGGATGATGGGGTTCCTCCCTTAGCCCTGATGGCGATGGGGACAGTAGATTTCAATAATCCTACATGTGAGGATGAAGTAGCCCGCAAAGAGAATCAGGGGTATCTGATGGAATATCAGAATTATGCACCAAACTCTCTTGGGCATTCTGAACCAATTTGGGGTCGGGGAAGAAGATGACTCTTTAGGGAGTGGCAGGGACAGAGTTTGCTCAGGGGAGCAGAAAATAGTGTCTCTTAGATTGCGAAGAAGATCGTGACCTAACAGGTTAATGGGAGACTCAGTCATAAGGAGAAAGATTGTTGTGTTTGACCTCCATTCTTCAAAGAGGACCAATGACATCAGGGACGTGATGACTTGTAAGTGAATTGGATTTAAGTGAGGCAGGGCTGTGCAGTCATCAACTGGGTTCAGTGGTAAGATATAGCCCAGAAAGACTGGAGATGGCCCCAGATGCAGTGGGAGACCTTGGCCTTTTTAAGCTAAGATCTTTCCCAAGTCTTACTTTGTCCGTGGCAACACCCATTCAGTGATTAAAGCTAGGTAAGAAATGAAACAAAAAATGGCTTCCTTTACCTAGTTAAAAAAAAAGAAAATCAGTCTGGTAAGGGAAGACCCTCAGAGTTTCTGGCCAAAACAGAAACAATTGTTTATGTACACTTACTCTGAGCCATCAAGACCCTAACAATGATCAAGTGAGGCTTGGGCTGGCACCTGTTGTAGGCCAATCACAGTGAGAGCCAGAGTGATTCCAGTTTGAGGCATGGTCAAGTAGGTCCCTTTGAATCCCAATGGTCTTTATCAAAGCCTGGGTTTCCAGTGCAGTATTTCAAGAAATCATAAATGAAACTATATGGGGCAAAAAGGGTTAATTGTCTCATACCCTTAACTGTGG